GACTCTAAAACATGTATAGTATTATAAACTGCTACTTCAACAAACATAGTTAAAAAGTAAACATAAAGAGAGATACTTAAACATATTGGTGTGTTGCATTTTTCAAATATCTCTTGTTCCTATAAGGACGCAGTAGATAAATGCTATGGAATTTTGCTATTATGTTTTCCACACAGAACTTTAAGAGAAAACTAACCAAGCAGAAGGAAAATTAGTTATATTTGGAGATGATTTCTGCATAAAACACATTTGCAGTGTCTGGACAGGTTGGTTGGTTTGTTTCAATTAGGCACACTTTTTTTTTTTTTTAACAGACACTCAAAGCAAAGGGTCTGGAGTTAAGTCACCTGAGTTTGAATCTTAGCTCCAATGATTATTAGGTTAGTGAATTTGTGCCAATCTTTACAATAGGCACAGCAATATTCCTTTAACAGGACCATGAGGTTTCAAGAGATAATCTATAAACTATATTTCTCTTGCATTTCTGAATCTGTTTTATCTTATTTTACATATAAGGATTTTTAAAAAAAATTATTACTACTATAATCTCAATTACAGCTCTTGGTAATATTATTAAAACTTGCTTTCTAAAGATTTTTGCTATGGCCCTCATTTTCCTTTCTAGACTAAGATATATTAAATCTGTACTCTTTAGTATATAATTAAGAAATCAGAATTTCTCAATCATTGTTCCACATTACTTTATCTATTTTATGAATTACTGTCAAAATATATTTTCTTAATTGCAATTTAAGATTGAGTCAACATTTTTGGCTTAAAATATTTCACTGAGTCTATGTTGCTTACTGAATTAAATAAAACTCATTTCTGCAGCATGAACCAGAAATATCTTTATACCATGATCTACTTTTAATATACTTAAATGTACCTACCCTAAAAATTAGACAACTTCTATCCCTTAACAAATCCAGTGCTTTCTTGCTGTGAAACTTTATTAATGCTAATCCTTCCACTGCAACATCCTAACATCAGACCCATCTCCTAACTCAGCATTGGCAAGTACTACCAAGATCACACTGATATCATGTTTATTTGTAAATATCATAATTCCTTTCTTCGGTCTTTCAACAAACTATAAAATTCCTAGCCCTGTTAATTTCCATAGCATGTATCACTCAAAATCACTTATCTGATTCCCACTTGACTTGGTAATTTGACTGTGATAATTCTTTATTCTTCCTTACTCTTACTGTTTACATACTATGTGTCAGTCACTATGGATACAAAGAATAATTAGGCATGGCCTTTACCCTCAAAGGCTTGTAGTCACTAGACTTAAAGCAAATGACAATAGAAGTAACATATTTCCAGATGATTTAAATGCCAGTCATCAGATCTCACGTTTCCTAAGTGACTGTAAATTAACTCTGTGTCTGGTCATGTCTTGTAATCTGGAGAGATCAGGAGTTATCCACACTCTGATGACTCCATAGCTTATATTTCCAATATAGACCTCTATTCTGACCTCCAAACACATAAATCCAATGATCACAAAAGTATCTCCACTGGGAGGTTTGAAAATTCCTTCAAATTCAGCAAGTGTTCACATGGAATCTCTTATATTCCCCACACCTGGTCTGTCCTTTCCCAGTTTTCCCTGCATTTATGTGACTGATTTATCAATCACCTTATCATATTAGTTAGAAATGAGGAGACATCCTTGACATTATCTTCCTCATTACTTCTCTGTGTCCAAATCTACAACAAAGACTTAATACTTCTGTGATTGCTTCTAGATACATCTTTGCTTTTCGCTTCTAATACTAATCTGAGGTACAATGTAGTTTACTTAGAATCTTCTTTCTGGTTGCAGGTACCTACCCAATATTGTTGAATATTTTTTTTCATGTTGGTATTGCCTAGTTGTTTTGGATGCTGATAATGTGTTAAAAACTACATTTCTTAACCTGTTTACTAGAGAGGAAGTGGAGGGTCATTCATATGGGAAATCCAATCAAGGAGACATCAATGGAATTGGCTTTGCAGTTTTCTGGGAAAGTCCCTAAAGGGACAACTCATTCGTTTCTTATTTTCCTGTCTTATTGTATCTAGAGCAGCATCTAGTAATGCAGAGGATGAGGAGATCATACGTGATCACTGACCATCCAAGGCCAAGACAACTGGCTGAACAATGCAACTATTGCTCCTCCTGATGTCTCCAAAGTGAGAACACACTTCTTTGTTTCAGTGGCTGTAGTCAGTGGCTGTAGTTAAAATCTGTTCCTCACCGCCAACATATTACTAACCACATAGTCTTGCAGAATCCATTCTTGCCCTGCTCCAAGTTGCTTCCACTTTGTCATAGAGTGGTCTTTTCAAACTGTAATTTCCCTGATGGCATTTTCTTTATTACAACTTTCAATGATTTTCCATTGTTTTAGGATAAAAACCAACTTTATTATTATTATTATTAAATAATATTAAGTAATTCTTTATCCTTAAATATTACAATGCTGTGGATCTTAACATACCTAAGACAGTCAAATGTTGATAGTGTTTTATATATATATAAACAATAATTCATTCCTTTAATTGCAGTACCAGGAGTGTTTGCATCAGGTACCACCAGAGTAAGATACCAGCCATTACACAGTAGCCCACAGCACATCCCATTGTGCTCTCCTCCATCTTTGTTCCTACCCTCTCCAACCTCTCCCCACTTCAGATGCTTCAGTTCTGTAGTCAGTTTTTAAGAGTCAGCTTTCAAGGTTGTCTTTCTCTGGTTCTTGAAAACCAAATTCATACTGTGGTCAACAAAGTTCTTCAAAGTCTGGAACATATTAAGCCCCTAACTTGATTTTAGGTGATTTTCTCCCTTGTTTGCAGAATGTTAGCCACACTGGCCCCTGCACTAACTCACCATGGTACTTCCCACCATGTGGACAGAATTAAGTTGAAAATAGCTCTACAACTTAGGACATTAATGTCTGTGGGTAGCCCTGATCTAAATGGAGTTTTTTGGGTTTTACTGGAGTTAGCATTCAGCAGATGCTAAAATGCTGAAACTCCACATCTTTCTGCTGAGCCAGTTTTCAAACCAGTTTTAAGAAAATTTTACCCTTATAAGTCCTTCAACTGGTACTGCTGTTCCTCATACACAACTCTAATATGTTATTTTTACCATCAAGAAATGTACTGGGCTATTATCCTGCTCTTGAATTTTGGATAGTAGAGAAGTGTGTCTTCTTTCTTTCTTGACTGGACAGGTGGACCAGGTTCCTGTGTTTTCCAGTCTGTATGATTACAGCAGACTCTTTAATTCACCCTTTGCTCTGTTACTGGGGGGACTATGGGGAAATGAAATGTGGCTGCAACACAATCTTGTTTAGGCTTCTTCCCCTGCCTTAGTAATGAGGTCCAAATCCTCTAAAATTCCCAAAGGTCTTCATAGGTTGGTGTCCACCCATGCATATTTCTTGTCTTGTCTCTTGCTACTCTTCTTCTCATACTCTGTCTATGAGAATATAACTGCCAAATCAAGTGCTGTCACTATAGGGAAGGTTCTGCACCCCTTCACTCAACTCTGTAGACCACCATCCCTTTTACAGCTCAAATTTCCCTTGAAATAGTATCTGAAGCATACCACCACAGTGAATGTAATTTTAGCTGTATAGTACTCATCACACTCAAAAGTAACTATTTGTTCAGGTTGCATAGTCCCGTAGAGGTAAAAACTTGAGAGTGGGACTTTCTTAAAGATATATTCAGTCATTGAGATGACTGTGAGAAACACTGTGTGAAGTACTATATATCGCACAGCAGATATTCAATAATTATTTGTTATATGATGACCAGCAGTGTGTCTGGTACATAATGTATATTTAGTGACAATTATTTAATATGTGAATAATGAATGTGCAAGATCCACATTCACTCTATCTCTTGTTATCGCTTATACTGTGTGAAATAATATTCAGGAATTTATTATTCTGCTCTCTTTACAGACATACTTTGTTCTGTCTTTTGTCTCTAAATACTCTGAAATACATCTTCCAATACTACTGTTCACTCTATGGAACACTCTCACAGCACTAGCTTTAAGTTTCCCAGTTTGTTTAGATATTTTTCTGCCTCCCTTTAAAAAACACCCATTAATACAGCTGACAAGACTCTAATTCTGTTCATCCTAATCTAAACACGAAGTATTATGTGTTAGATGCCATGTTATAACAGCACTGGGAATATGGCAATAATTAAGTGGGTACTATTTCCCACATGGCTTAATTAAAGACGAAGCAGACTTTTAAAGTTCCATAAATAATTACAGTTTAATAGGTGCTATGTGAGAGATTACGGGGTGTCCTGAAAACATGCTAGCCTGGATAAACGCTTGCCAAAGCTCTTCTTGTTCCTTATGGGACACATTTCTATGTAGGTTTCACCTAAATCATAGTATAAAAACAAACTCCAAAAAATTACTCATAATTAAAATACTAAGATTATTAAACTCTTTTTCATTTCTCTTCTAAGACAAAATATTTTGACTACAAGGAAAAGATGGGTTTTCTTTTTATAGTATTTGATGGTGCACAGAACATTGGGATAACACATTCAAATATTTAATGTACACAAGAGTAAATAAAACTAAATTGTTTGAAATGACTATTCCAACTGTATCTACAGATTGGATTACTTAAAGTGTATTTGGAATAGCAAGTGGTATCATAAATATTCTGCTTTCCTATTAATTTGCTATTATCGGATGCATTTTTATTTCTTGGAAAATATTACACTTTTCAGTTGGTTTTATGACACTGTCATGGAATAATGTTTTACAAGTGGGAGTTTCCAACTTTTCTGGCAGATAAGAAACAATTTAAATTTAAATATGCTTCAGATAACTGTCAACTCACATAAATTACAAAACAATGATATTTTTACAAGTTTTGTCAAGCGACTCTAAGAATCATACTTATTTATCAAGTTTTTATTTCCACTTACTTCCCAATGGCTATACATTTGTCAGAATGTTCACATACCTAGGACCTTTACGATGAAAGTTTTGCTGACTTCTCCCGCTTCATTGGAGGCAATGCAGGTGTATCTTCCCGAGTCTTCAGGGTCTGCTTCGATGAGCTGAAGGACCATTCCTTGAGTGTTTATTGTCAAATGGGCATCAAGTCCCAGAGGTTGGCCATCTCTAAGCCAGGACATGCTAGGAGTTGGAGTGCCATCTGTAAAGCATGTCATGGAGGTAGAACTGCCCTTGACAATGGTGATCTCCTCTGTCCCCATTGCATTGTCCATATTCGGTGGTACTACATAGAAAACAAAACAAGTAAAAGTTATATTTCTATTATAATTTAAGATAAATTTAAAAAAAATAAATGGCTTTATTATTCTGTAGTGTTTCTACAATATATTAAAGTAGAAAATTTAAAACATCACATTACTAATTAAAGACTAAAAATAGGCAGGCTAATTATTCATCTTCTAAAACATTAGCAATGGAACCCGAGAATTGTTTTCTTATAGAATACACAGAATGTAAATTTTTTAAATTTTGGCTATTTTTTAACTTTTACGGTATGAGTTTTTAATATGTTTAAATGTATATTATCTATAGAAGGGTATTTTCAAAACTTTATATCAACTTCTAGGGTAGGTTTTATGTAATCCAACCTAAGTCATTTGTAGGCTACAGAAACAGTACATAATTGTGTTGAGCTATACTTGGGTACTGAGAAATTCGGACTAGCAAACCTTGATTATTTCAGAAATGGACTGAGTTCTCCATGTATACACAGACATATATACATATGTATATACATATACAAGTATATATACACACATGTATCCATTCATATTTTTTAAAAGATTTGTTTATTTATGCATAGAGAACTGGGGTACAGGCCATAGGTGTAGAGGTGGTGAGAGGATTCACTAGAGACAGAGTGGGGAGTAGAACAGGGAAATTGAGGAAGTACACTGCTGAGGGGAGCAATGGGCAGGCCAGGAGAGGTCTGCTGTGCCATATGGGTCACCTCCGGGGCTTGGGTTCTAACCACACTGAACACTGTGGTCCGCTTGCAGTGCTACAACTCAGCCCATTGCACCCACCTTGATTCATATTTTAAGTCCTTTAAGTAGTACCTAAAAGCAGCCACTAATATTCCTAGAGAGCAATTTTAACTTTCTCTTTGTCTGAAAAGACTGGTCTTGAATCTAGATTGAAATGTTATTTTAAAACTTTCAGATTTGAATTGGTGTAAAATTCTAGATTAGAAAAGCATTTTGATAAACAAACAGTTCGTTCCAATAAATATGGACCCGTTGGGAGAAAATCCTTTCTAATATGTCAATATGTAAACAAAAGTGTGGTGCTTAACTTGTACTTATAGTAAAGCGATAGGGTTATTTCTGTGACATACCCAAGACGTGAAGACTATAATGTTTATTATCTACCCCAGCTCTGTTGGAGGCCACACATGTGTACATGGCAACATCAGACACCTGAGCTCTCACAATCCTGAAAAATAATACAACCCAACATTTCATAATTGGATCTCATTCAACATACACAAATAATTGTGAATTAAATGCAGATTATAGAAGATGACTTACACTGGAAAATTTCCGTTATGTAGCTTAAAACCACCTATCATAAAACATAGGTACCACAAATACAATTATAATACAAAGTGGACTAAACACTGGAAACCACTGAAAATATAATAAAATATGTGCATACTATACATCCACATTTCTTTGACAAATATGTCTCTCTCTCTCTCTCTCTCTCTCTCTCTCTCTCTCGCACACACACACACATTAGCAGAGAATGATGCCAATGTGAAAATCCCATGATTGGAGTAGACCTCTTCCTACCATTTTGAAATATAAGTTCTGCCAACACAGTAGTTTTTGGAAATATGTAAGTGCTGGGTATGTCTATGAAACACCTATTTTGTGCAAATTTACTAAAACATGAGGATTGAAATAGGATAAAAGCATTTTGATTTTATATTTGTTATTCTCTACACAACTATTTAGATAAGGAAAAGTTTATAATCACAGCAATTTTGTCTTCGAGTAAGTCACAAACAATAAAGCAGACCTGATAACTTGCCCCCCTGACAGCAACCGGATGTGGGAGGAGAGAGGCAGAGGAAGTCCATTCTTCAGCCAGTTGATCTGTGGAGGAGGAGTCCCAGCTGCTCGGCATTCAATATTTATTGAAGTATCCAACAATGCCATTAGTTTTTCTGCTTCTTCCTTATTTCCCCTAATTGCAGGTGGAACTGTGTCATGGAGAAAATGAGAGAGAAAAGCAAGTATATCTTACTACTAGAAATCGTTTCTACTTTAATGGCTGGTATGTATTTCTTTGTATCCTGAAAAGAAACAGCAGTAACATTAGATTTTAAAATTAAACGTTTCTGATACCTATAGCTGGACCTTTATTTCTATTGATAGATCTATATGGTGGCAGAGTCACATGAAATTTTATATTTACCATAGACATTCACATTAAAAATTCGGTCTTCCTCTCCGGCAGGATTTGTAGCGACACATGTGTATTTCCCCATGTCAGATGGGAGAGCTCCGTAAATGTTTAATGTGCTGCCATTTACAGTTACCCTATGGGGAAGGTTACAAATTAGAGATTACTTATGTGGTACAGATTATCTGTTCTTTTTTTAAAAATAAAACTGTCATGAAATATGTTTTTATCTTGAATATAATGGTTCAAATCTTTTTTTTTTTTTTTATTGAGTACATTAAGTCAGAGCTAGTGAAAATGATGGAGATTTCAGACAACCCATCGGAAATCCTACAAAATGGGTTTCAAATATCTACCACCCCTGAGGATAAAAAGTTAAAGAGCACTATCAGGTTAGGCACATCTCTGAATTATAGGCAAAGAAATGATTTTCCTTGAGTTAGAATATTTTATTCTTAGTTACCAGTAAGGTTTGAATTAAATAAAAATCACAAAAAAATTCTGGCATAAAATTGAATGTTACAAAGAAGAATTGAAGAAATTAGCAATCAGCTACCAAAGACTCTAGTTGTAAGCAACTTGTAATAGTTTTTTTTTTTAAGATTTATTTTTTTATGCATAGAGAACTGGGGTATAGGTCAGAAGTGCAGGACAGTGAGAGCATTCACCAGTGACAGAGTGGGGAGCAGAACAGGCAGATTGATGAAGTATTACTGCCAAGTGGAATAGCAGGAGAGGCCTGCCACACCATGTGAATCACCTCCCGGGGCCCAGATTGAACTTGCACTAATATGGCTGCAGCTAGCTTGCAGTGCTGCATCCTTCCCCATTGTGCCTCTAGGGATGGCCACAACTTGTAATAATTTTCATGAAAGGGAGCACCTAGGATAATCTGGAAAGTATGTGGAGTACAGAAAAACCAAATTAAGGTTTATGTGGACAAAGAAACTAATCCTTGTAATCTAACTATAAAATAAAAGCATCCATAGGCAAGAGATGATTGGGAAGGGAAAAAACAAAGCAGGAACTGAGCACATGGGACTCTGGTGGTGCACTATAGGTGATTTGTTGGTGGGTGCACTGCAATGGCAACACCTGCTAGAGGTATACTAACATTACCTTGATTAAAATAATTTAAGAAAGATAAACTGATGCCATGCCCAGCAATTAGATGGAGCTGAAAGGTATTAGGCTCAATAAATAGGTCAAAAGGAAAAAGAAAAATATCAGGCTTATAGGAGGAATATAGGGGGACCAAGTAAGGGATCGAGAAAAATAATGATAATAATAAATTAAAAAATAGCAAGCAATTATAAATGAGAGACAGTGTGTAGTATTGTATACAAATGAACAATGATGATATGAAATATAAATAAATAAATTTAAAAGCATAATACAAAAAGTAATTAATAAAAATAAATAACTTTTAATCATGAATGGGTATATTTTGCAAATTTGTTTCTACAAATGACTAAAGGCTCTCTTTTGAATTACAAACTGGCAAATAATAACTACAATTAGGTCATCAAATATATCTAAGTTGAGATTACTGCAATATTTGCTTCAGTCACCAATGGTTACTTACAAAATTTTCTGTGTTTTACAGAGATTAAATTGTAGTCTGATGGCTATTTATATGATAGTAATTTTATTAGAATTTCCTAGTGTCAACAGTCAATAATCTATTTCTATCAAGTCATGTTAATAAATATTATAGTGAATTACAATAACACTACTTAAATCTGTTATATTTTTCTTTTTCAAATATATATTTTTTAATTAATCACCACCACAAGCTTTGAGAGCCAGATTTTAAGATTTATTTATTATGTATACAGAACTGGGGTATGGCCAAAGGTATGGGAGTGGTGAGAGAATTCACCGGAGATAGAAAGGGGAACAGAACAGGCAGATTGACCGAAGTACACTGCTGAGGGGAGCAGCAGGCAAGAGAAGAGAGGTCTGCCATGGCATGTGGGTCACCTCCCTGGCCAGGGATTGAATTTATACTGCAGTTGAATGCAGATAGCATCATAGTGCTATGCTTTAACCTGTTGCACCACCAGAGAGGGCCCCCAAATAAGAATTTTTAAAGTGCATATATTTAATTGTATGAATAAACAAAAGAGCAAGTTGCTATAACCAAAGATTATTTGATTTTGTAAAAATTACTTCATTTGACTGACAAACTGTTCCACTTACAAACTGATACATATATATGTATCTATATATTGATCTATATATAGAGATCTTTCTATATATCTATGCAGATATGTTGATAGATAGATCTATACCAAGTGAACTATATATAGTGCATCTAGAACTAACAATTAATAGGAAGGATATAATAAGTTATAAACTTAATGTAAAAAGACTGATACTCTTAGGCACAAATATATTTTAGATTAGATGTTTAGGTCCCACTATCTAGTAGTTAGTTTGGAATGTGGTTGATACCAGCTCTTTTAATAAGAACTATTAAGTATTATAATACTTAAGAAATACCTACACCAAAGAAATAAAAATTAAAGTGTATTTCTAAAATATTACCTGGCAATTTGTAAGGGGACAAATAACTAAATTCTAATGTACAATGACTTAAAATAAAACATTTTCATTTCTTTAAATTAGGTTGTTGAACTTATAAACTTAGAGACATTCTACAGGGGCTGAGACAGGAATAGGGTAAAACAGGGGTGGGAAGAGCACATGGGACTACAGTGATGACACATGGGTGACTTGGTGGGAAGTCCAGATGGATTACACCAAGATGAAAAAGCATACATTATAAATAAAAATGGGGAATGATGTAAAAACAAAAAATAGAGAGACAGACATGATAAAATGGCCTCAGGGGTAAATACATAAATTATGTTGTTGAAAATATTTATATTAAAATTAACTAGAAAATTCACTCCAAACTTTGAAATTTAAAATATCATTCAAATGATAACATTTGAAATATACGTAGTTAATCCCTATCTATGCATGTAAGATTCCTTAAATAATTCTTAGTACTTTGATATGTGTATAAAGTGAAGTAATTTAGCAGAGGATTCCATATTGCCCTTCTAAATGCATTTGTTGTTGGAAGCAGCAAAGTCTCTTATCTTGCTATTATTTCAACACTGTGGATTTGTGGCATTGGGTGTGAATTGAAGGCTGGATTTGGACAAACTACTAAAAGGAATGACAGTTATGATGGTATTGTGTTTATTTCTCAATATGAGTCAAACATTATGGCACATTTGGTGATTTGCTGGCTTCAAGATATAAAATCATACCTAAAATTACTGACAATTGTTTTTGTGTTACATGATATTGGTTGGCAGGATAGAAGACATGAACTTTGTTGTAAACATTCTGAGATTTGATGAATAAAATCAATAGTAATCAACATTTAAGCAATGAATGGAATGTCTGAGATTTTATAACAGGGAGTTGATATGTAAGAAAGACACATGCACGTGTATGCACACACGTGATTCCCCTAGGAGAATTGGTGTCCAACTGTCCAAAATCTTATGTGTTTTCTTTCTGAATAGAATGACAGCCAAGTCCCATTGAGACTGAATTGGTATTATTATTCCTATGAAATTGGATGCATAAAGCATTGCAGATGACCTTATAATTAAGAATGCAAAGACTCTTTAAACATACCGGATTCTTTCTGCTTCACTGTTAGTTATGGGCTTTCCATCTCTAAGCCATTGGATCTGTGGGGGAGGAATGCCATTTGCATTGCAGACCAGCTCAACATTTTCCCCTAGCAGGACACTGACTTCACTTGGAATTTCAGCACCAGCAACATTTGGAGGAACTTTGGGAAAATAAAACTTTCATCAACATGAGAAAATAGATATAAATTCTAGTGATACCACAGATTCAAGGAACAGCATGCCATTTTTTTTATTCCATAGTCTTCCTAGATTGTTACCTTCATGAATTACTTTTAAGTGGCGACTAGATCACTTTTAAGTGGCGACTTCAATATTCCTGCTACATTTGTAAGTTGAATAATTGTTTAGTCATGGGGTTGCTGACAGATCTATTTTGTGGACACCCTGCCTGGCTAAAAGGAATTACTCTTAAATTCATAATAGACAGCTTAGAAGTAGCATGGTTGACAGGAATGTATTTTTTATAACATTTTGGCATAAAGGTCATATCTTAGTTGGAAAATATCTTAGTTGGTTATTTCTTAGTTAAGAAAATATCTTAGTTGGTTATTTCTTTCGCCATAATGAAAATTAAATATTACTTATTCTGAGAGGCTTATGATGTTTTGAAATCCAATAATTTTATTCTCTTTTTCTAGCTGCCATTGATTTGCATTTTAATGATCTGATTTTGAAAAAGAGTGGAATAAAAATACTGACAAACATTATCAGACAGAAACATATTTGAGTTCCATTGTCATGTAATTACGGTGGTGTGCTGGTGGTCGCTCACACCACTTGTGCAGGCTGATTTTGCACATCTTCTAACTCATGGACAGTGACATCACTCTGGTAGCTTGGAATGGGCCATAATGGGAATGTTTACAAAATTGAAACTGATAAAATGGAAACTGATAAAATGGTTGGCTGCCAATCAGGTCCTTTTTATCTGGAGAGTCAACTGTTAAATATTTATCAGTACAATACTGCATTATCTGTCCAAATCTCATTTTAGTCACCAAGAAAATAATTATTATACCAAATTTGAAGAATATGGACTAGTAAAAAAGATTGAATCAATAAAAATGTTAAGAGACTTCCTATTAACAAGTATCTAATATATTAAAGCAATATACTAGATTCCATATGTATAGACATTATTACTAGTCTTAAAACATAACATTTTTAAAAGTCTGGTAAAATATTTTGTCATACCACATATCTCAGAATACAAGTTCTCCCTGCAGTAATACTATGCAAGACCACAGTAGGTGTTAAAAGTCTATTCCTATTTTATGAATTTTATAGCATAAAATTCAAGATTACTTGAAATCTACCTAACCCTTTACTTGTAGTTAGAACATAATACAACCTCTTCATGAATTAAGTTTTACATATCTATAGAAAAAGAACAGATCCACAGGTTTAGCATTTAAATTAATAATACCAGTTACAAACAAAGTGTATAATTTAATACAATGTATACTACAGAAGATAATTTCAGTAAACATGAAAAACAGAGATTATCAAATTTCTACACACTGGTATCCATTTCTCTGAAAATAAAATCTATTGGTAAATATAAGAGAGATAATTGATAGTTTTTTTGTCTGACCTGAAGATATATAAGTCAGTTATAAATAATCTCTTTAGAGGTAGACTAATTTTTACCATAAATAGGATATAAGAAATAAGTTGAAGATACTTCACATACCTTGAATTGAAAGGATGTAGTTTTTCTGTGCTTTTCCCTCCATATTTGATGCAATGCATGTGTAGTTTCCACTGTCTGAAGGCTGAGACCGGGCAATTTGTAGTTTGCTGCCTCCAGACAGAATATGAACCTCTAGTGAGTCAGAATTTTCTAGCAGTAGAAACAAAACAAACAAAACATTCAAAAACTTATTTTTAACACCCCTACAATTTGCAATAAAAAATGTTTTACTTCATTTGTTAAAGAACATTTCTTAAAAGTTCTTTTGTACTTTCATTTTTAAAAAAAGATTTATTTATTTATGCATACATGAGCTGGGGTACAGGCCAGAGGTGCAGGAATCAGGGGAGAGGATTCACCAGTGACAGAGGATGAGTGCAGAACAGGTGGATCCACTAAAATACATTGCTGAGGGGAGCAGCAGGTGGTTCAGGAGAGGTCTGCTGCACCATGTGGGTCACCTCTGGGGCAGGGATCAAACTAGCACTGAAGCAGCTGCCAACAACCTAATAGTGCTAAGACTTAACCTCCTGTGCAACAAGAGAGGCCCCTGTACTTTCATTTTCAATGAGTGTTTTTGAAAAAGAAAAATGAACAATCTTTTTATGAGTGATCATTGTATGAGTCTACTCTTAAGTTCTTCTTTCAGTATATTTTTAAAAGATTTATTTATTTATGCATACAGAGCTGGGATATAGGCCAGAGGTGCAGGGCTGTGAGAGGATTTACCAGAGACAGAGTGGAGAGTGGAACAGGCCGACTGAGGAAGTACACTGCTGAGGGGAGCAGCGGGCGGGTCAGGAGAGGTCTGTTGCACCATATGCATCACTTCCAGGGCAGGGATCGAACTCATGCTAAAGTGGCTTTAGCTTCTTAGTGCTGTGCTTTAACCTGCTGCAATACTAGGGAGGGCCCATACTGTTATTTTTTAAAGGCGTACTTATTTATGCATACAGAACTAGGGTATAGGCCATTGTATAGGCAGGGATGGTGAGAGGATTCACCATTACATCACCACTAGGGAGGGTCCATACTAAGTTATTTTTAAACTAAGCACAGGTATGAGTATAATACTAAAAATGTGCAGTTTACAACCTAGTGACTTGAGCAAAAGAAATTCACAAAATACACAGTGATCCTACCTATGGGCTTGTGGTTCTTGAGCCATGCTATTGTGGGAGGTGGGATCCCAGTAGCATCACAAGTCAGGATCACAGGATTGCTGATGGTCTCAACAACCACTTCTTTGTCAGGCCCTTCAATGCTAGGTGGCACTGGAAGAAGAAGAAAATCATGTGTCTTCATTAAGCTAATACAGGACACTTTCATTTGCATATCTAGGGGAAAAAGAGTTATATTAGAGGCAGATGCTCACCATATACATTGAGGTGGAAATTTTTATCATCCCGTCCTGCTACATTTATAGCTCTACATACATACTGGCCTGTGTCAGATACCTAAAAGAAAAAGATACTATTGTATGTGCTCCATTAAGTTATAGATGACCAATCACACTGTCTGAGTGTTGATTAAATCACCAGTCATCTTTATGCTCAAACACCCAAGATGCACTGTCTCTACAATCCTGCTTTATTTTTTTTCAAAGAAAATAAGTTCAGTGTCATTGATCATGTTATTTTTACAAGAAAATCATTTTTCACTATAGTAAAGGGAATATGCAACTTCTAATTCTCTCTCCCATAATCACACCAAGGCATCATGACACAGAAACAAGAACAAAAGATGCACCTCGGCTTTCTTGATGTGTAGCATTTGTCCATCTGCTAAAATCTCCAAGTGAGTAGACTCTGTAATCATCCGTCCGTTCTTGTACCAGCTGATGACTGGAGGAGGGACAGCATTTGACTCACATTCCAATGACACTGAGGTCCCCTCTCTGACACTAACTACAGAAAGAGATTCACTGCCATGATCTTTAATGCTTGGGGGCACTGAGGAAAGGAAACAAGAACAGAAGGATGTTTTTTCATTAAGGTGTTCAGGTAGAAAATATCTGCCACCAGATTAAAATTTTACATATTGTATGAGGTCAGTAAAAAACAGACCATAAACAGTCAGGGAAACTTTTTTCTTGCTTTCACCAGCCTGATTGGTAGCTATGCAAGTGTATTCACCGCCATCAGACACCTTGGCCCGAATTATTTGTAGAGTCCGACCACCTGTAGACGGATACAACACAGACTGATAACTAACAGTGTTTTAACAAGAAAATAAATGTCAAAATGTGTCCCTTCCCTGAGAGTAGATTATATAGATGTGGTTCATATTTAAAAAAAAAAAAAGAACAGAATCAGTTTCCTTTATTATGACTCTACTGCCTTATAAAGTAAAATCTGTAATGTTTCTTTTTCAGTAACCAAACATGTAGAACTGTTTGATGTAAATTCTAATGAGCAAACAGCATTTATATTATAATAAAATATGTTGGTAAGTATTTTTGGATTCAAATCCTCCACACTACAGAAGTGACTGTTGGTGTATCTATCTGTCATTCGCAAAAATCTAATTTTGGATTCATTTTAAAAAATCTGTGAATTTATGCAATGAAAACACTAATTATGAGTGTATCAAACCCTGGAACTACAGAACAGTAGTGTTGTGAAATTGTAGTGTTGCAAAATTTCACAATTTCTTGAGGTAGACCTCATAACTGTATATCCTCTCTAAATTAATCAAATTCTATATACCTTACTACTAGTTCTAAATGAATAAAGAGACACTTAATATGAAAGAATGAATTTTAGAAGACAAAAGCTTGGAAATAGGTTAAACTGAAATGTCATTTGCATGAAAAATAGACGAAAGCAAGGTTGTTTCACCCACTTTAAAAGTAATAGGTTCCTGGCCCTCCCTGGTGGCGCAGCACTGAGAAGCTAAAGCCACTTGCATTAAGAAGCTTAAGCCACTTCAGCATGAGTTTGATTCCTGCCTGCCCGGGCGGTGACCACATGGTGCGGCAGACCTCTCCTGACCCGCCCACTGCTGCTCCCCTCAGCAGTGTACTTTGTCGATCTGCCTGTTCTGCTCCCCACTCTGTCTCTGGTGAATCCTCTCACCCTCCGCATCTCTGGCCTGTACCCCAGTTCTGTACGAATAAATAAATAAATCTTAAAAAAAAAAAAAAGTAATAGGTTCCTTACCAGGCACAATGAGAGCATGTGTGTTCGGCTTGATAGGCTGTCCATTCTTGAGCCAGTTCAGATCAGGAGGTGGAAAACCAGATACCTCACAAGTCAAAGAGATGAAGTTGTTCACCACAACAGTGAGATTTTCAGGGTTAGGGCCAATAACACTTGGAGGAACTAAAATAACAAACATAAAATGTGAAATCTGATATCATCAATAATCCAATATAAAATAGGAGCCCAACCAAAGGACTGTTAATGACTGGCTAACAATACTGTTAACTATCTAACTTTCTTCTTAGAATTCTCTAATGTTTTCATAAGATCCATGGTCATCATATTTGTTTATCCCAACTGGAATAAAATGCCAGACTTTTTTAAAAAGAGAATGATTCTAAATTTTATTTGTAAAACATTTCTGGCAACTCCTAAGATGACTTCATCAATGTATGGAGAGAGACCCTAATGTGCTTTCTATTAGACACGTTTTGAATACCCTCATTTCTAATATAGTATGTTTTATTTAAAGTTTTTATTTTCCTATTTATAACAATACGAGGACAGAAATTTATTATTAGGATATCTGCCTATAAATAAATTATACAGGTTACTTTGACAATGTAGGTCAAAGACACTTAAGATACATAGGAAATTTAAGAAGTAAATAATCTATGGTTTATTATTCAGTCAATAAAGAATGCCCAATGCAAAAGTGGCACAAAGAAAAAGTGGAGTAGTAAACAGTGATGTTAGTAATACAATACCAGTTATGCATGTAAAAACATACACATTTATAACAATAGATGTTTTATAGGAAAACGTGCATGGAAGAAATAGCATCACAAACATTGAAATTATTTTCTATGAATGGAGGAGGGAAATAAGAAGAAATAATACAAATGAAGTATATATGTATACAAATTAAGGTATATGTGAATGAATGAATAGATGAATAAAGATGGGTTTTACTCTGGCCAATGAAAATAGAGAGATATAAACTAAGGAAACCAATGTAACACACAGCTATATTAAGACCTAAAATAACATCAAAATAATCAAAAAGGCAAAAATGCTTTTTTCTTATTTAATTTTCATCTACTAGAAAATTTTAATATTTATTCATCAATGAAACATTTATTGAATACTTACTGTATACAATATGAAAAATGCATAACAAGCACAGAATTAACAATTTGGTGGTAATGACAGATATTAAACTAAAAATGCCAGCCAACATGCTTTGGAGTAGTTATACTTGTAGCCAGGAAAGGTACTATACATTTACATGTTCTATCTCATTGAATCCTCTTACAATCTTATGTGTTAGCTATAGTTACTTAATTTTTAAAAATGGAAGTAACACTGTGTTATAATGTATGTTTCCGTTGTTCATCATGGAAAATCAAATGTATATGCAACAGTGGCCTTTTGTAGCATATTCTTATTTGTCTAGTATAGGTGAGGAAGCTGAGACACAGAAAGGTTAGTCTTGCCTATGAGGTCACAGTAAGTTACTGGAAGAAACTAGAAGAACACCATCTGTCTGGAGCACCTTTCTTCCTAGGCATTGTTCTATAAGAGCTAGCAATTATAAATGTAAAGTGTATCCATCAGAAAACTAATCTAGTGTGAGAAAGAAGAAGCGGAATTGGCATTTAGGAAAACCCTTGAAATATCACAGGGAGAATGAAAATGGCTGGACCTTCCAGGAAAAAAGGCACAGCATGCAGAGGCCCAAACGGGCAAAGAACATGGGACAAAAGGGCTGGCATTATCAGAGTTTGAAGAGCAAGGATGGGGTGGAGGAAGTGGGTACTGGATTAAAAGACGAGGCAAGGTGGCCCTCCCTGGTGGCGCAGCACTGAGAAGCTAAAGCCACTTCCGCATGAGTTCGATCCCCGCCCGCCCCGGAAGTGACCACATGGCATGGCAGACCTCTCCTGACCCGCCCTCTGCTCCCCTCAGCAGTGTACTTTCGTCGATCTGCCTGTTCTGCTCCCCACTCTGTCTCTGGTGAAGCCTCTCGCCGCCCCTGAGGCTCTGGCCTGTACCCCAGTTCTGTATGTACAAATAAATAAATCTTTAAAAAAAAAAAAAAAAGAGGCAAGGATAAGAGCATGGGTTTTTGGACATCATTAAGGATGTTAAATTATAGCCCAAAGAATGGAAAGCTGAAGAGTACTTTAATCAAATATTGATTTTAAAGACTTCAGTCTGGTCACAATGAAGAAAAAAAATTAGATGGCAACAAGGACTCAGAAGACCAGTGAGATGACTGCTGTAGTATAGGCAAAGGATTATGGTAGTTCTCTCTTGAATGTTATCAAAAAAGCTTCAGAAAAGTGAGGAAATGTCAGTATATTCTGAAGATATAATAGTTAGAATTTCATGTTTTGGAGATGAGGTTTAAGGAGGAGTGAGGAATGGAGGAAAACGAGTAACCATTAGTCCGACTTCATAGATAAGGTGATCATAGTTCTTACTGAGACAAATATGACTACAGGGAAAATGCATTTTGGGGAAAAGATAATGAACTTAGTTATATACACATTGCCTTAGGGTAGGGTCTCTGTTAGATACTGTGTAAATAAGTAGAAGTTATTTTGACCGGAAGGTCCTCACATTTTTAGTGGGTTTTGGCTAGAAATAAAAATTTGGAATATATTTGTACATAGATTAATATCTGAAATTTTGGAATACATGATATCACACAGGAAGAGAATAAAGTTTAGAGCACAGAAAACTAAAGAATAATAGTCATAGGTAGAGAAGGAGGGAGTAGCCAAAACCCAGCTACAGCATGGAAGGCAAGCTGTAAATAAGAAGCATGGTGTCACAAAAGCAAAAGAAAGAATTTTTTGAAAGGATAGGAGTCACCGATCCAAATACAAGCTAGGCCTGACACTGAACTCTGCAGGGAATGGGGAGGAAGAGGGATCAAAGCAAGGGAGGAAAGAGCACAAGGGAAAACTGTGATGGTGCACTTGTGAATTGGTGGAGGAAATTCTATGGGGGCTATGCCTGAGAAAAGAAAGCAAGCATTGTTTAAAAAAATGAAAAAAAAAAGTAAAATATATGCAATTAAAAATAATAATATAAAAAGAAAAGTAATATATGTAATATACTATGGAATCAAAATTATATTTTATCTGAAGTATAAATTCACTTTTTTGGTAATTTCATCATAATATTGTCTAATTAATAAAAATGTAAAATAAAAAAATTAAAAATATAGTGGTCAAGAATGTTAAGTACTTAGAATTATGAAAAAACCTGGAAAGTGCCTGTTGTACTTAGTAAGGAGGGCATTTTATGAGCTCAGTAAGCAATTTCAGTGAAGCCATGAAGATGAAAGTAGATGTGATGGAGTTGAGGAAATGGAGACATTAAATATGGGTAGCTATTAGAGACCCTTTGAAAGTTAGGAATGTAGCTGAAGAGAAAGATTTTTTTTTTTTAAACAATAGGAAGGATAAAATTAAATCTACTACTGGGAAGAAGCCAGGAAAGAGTGATAATTCCCGTATTTGATAGCAGAGAGAGGAGGTGAGATTTTTGTAAAAGCAGTAAAGTGGGAACTAGAATTGTTAGTTTTGGTCTTTGGAAGGCAGAGGAAATGCCTGATGGGATCAGTGTCCTTATAAGAAGGGTCACTGGAGAACTTGCAGTCTTTCTGTCCAGGCCTGCCTGTTTATCAGAAAGGACTTGTGAGGACTAAGTGCCCATTTCCAAGTCAGGAAGAGCCTTCACCAGCACTGAACTTGACAGAAGTTTCTCACCTCAGGATGGTGAGCAAAATGAATTCTGTTGTTGTTTAAGCCATGCAGTTTTTGGTATTCTGTTAAGGCCATTCTAGCAGACTAAGACACAGACTATTGAATCTATAACAATGCCAGCAGTCCTAACTCCAAGAGTTCCTCTATCCATAGCTATGCTGGTGAGTGGACATTAAGTGAGAGGTTATATAAAAAAGCAACTAAGTATAAAACTAGAACCAGAGTCCTTGAGTTGAAATCTCAGTTCTGTATCTGCAAGCCCTGTAACAGGACATGTTATCTAATCTCACTAAGCATCCGCTTTTGCATATATAAAGGAGATATTTAAAATGGTACCAACCACCTGGGGTTACTGAGATCATTAAGTGAAGGAGCAGGTAAAACATTTGGAAGAGCACCTGGTGGGATCAAAAGATACAGAATATCATGTTGTCACAAGCACACATGACCTTTTACCAGCAGGAGAAATGAGAAGACATGGGTTCAGAGAAAAAAGTAAAAGTTTCGTGAAAGATATGAAGGAAAGTAAAGACACAGAGGCTTGAACAATACTGAGAGGCCAGTAGACAGAAGGTTACAGTCCCCCCAAAAGCAAGCGGGGCTGTAGTGGGAGCAACAAAATAAATGACTTTAAGCTAAGATGTTATAATTGAAAAACCCAGAATGGGTTTTCCAATATGTATGCATGTGTGCGCATGTATGCATTGAAGTAACATTGGTTGAAATCATCATATATGTAGAAATAAAGGGTGAAGAATGAAGTTTACAATGTTTAAATATGAATTCCTGATAGCAAACATGTTATTAACAAATAATTGTTAATCCAGTCTCTACGGAAAACAGAGGTGGCTGCTGCCTCTCAAGTCACATGAGTTCCTACTTCATGTATTTTTACTGTGGATTGAGAAGAGGCAACAGGCAGGAAGGCAATAAAATAAAGCATACCAAACATTCTTTTAGCAATAACCACAAAGAGAGACCCCATTTCTGGTTTAGAAAAACCAAGTTCAGAAATGGTCATTTGTCTACGATATTTATCAAGCACTTATGGGAAGAGGTGAAGATACAGTATATAAAGAAAATATAGCATAACTAGTGGCTATAATTAAAGTATTTATGAGATGCTTTTGATTACAAAGGAGAGGAAAAATGAATTCTGCCAGAAATGATAATGACCATTTATATTTTCAAAGCTTATTATACTAAACTTCACAGATTAGAATATGTACTTTCACAATGATTATATTTAATTCATTTTGTCCTGGGAGTTCATGACACATTTGCCTTGTTCAGATTTACTCTAGAAAAATTTTTTGATGATATTTATTAAGGACTCACTGTATTACTCTGCTTAGCACAGGGAATACAAAGATGTGTCTCCAATATCTATTACACAAATCGCAAACATAGGTTGGTTTCAATATTCTGTCCTAACTGCTCCAAAAAGGAAAAATCCATAATACAAATTGAAAGTCATTGCAAGAAAGAAAGTTTTTGTGAAATTTTAAATTTTAGCTATTTTTAAAATAAACTAGAAATGCATAGGTATATCTTTTTACGGTCACTATTTCCAGTTTAAAATTCTGGAAGCAGCTGTGTATCACAAAGATAGAAGTATTCTTTTGTGGTGGACAACCAACTACTTTTTGAACAACAACAACAAAAATACAGTGTTATGGAGCATCTAATGCACATTGAGAAAATCAAATTTTTTTGACTGAATTAGGTACTCTGATAGTTTTTAGGAATTATTTAATACCAAAGTGTCTTTTGGTATTAGAGCCTAACAGGAATTCTACACGTGAGACAAAACTGGTTCCCATCAGAACTAGTAGATACATTTTTATGAGAAGAAGACCTATATGCGGTTTTAATTTCATGCAAACTTGTAATCTTTAGGATTCAAATTTTGATTTCTATTTTCAAATATAAAGGAATCACTGCTTTCTCTTGAGGGACTGAATAATATAAAACCAGACTTTCTAGAAGATGTCTACTTCATAAATCCTATTGACTGTAGTGGGAAGAAAGGGGAAGAGACTGAATGAATGTGGCTCTACACATTGCTCAAGTTAAAAAAAAATAAAACACATAATCTAAAACACAGCTTTCCTGCCTTTTCAAGCATACCCTAACAGATGTTTTTGGAACTGAGCTCTTACCATGAACATTGAGGTTAAAATATTTTTTGGCACTTCCTGCTGTGTTCTCAGCAACACACACATATCTGCCAGTGTCTGTTATTTGAGTATTTAGAATCTAGGGGGAATATAAGAAGAAATTCCAGTTGAAATTAACAAAACAACTTGTCACTGTTATCATTATTTTTTAAATAAGCAATGCGTTTGCTCTTTAGTCAACAGCAGGCAGAAAAAGGTATGAACATTAACAGTGTAGATGATGGTTTTGATTAAAGCTAATCAAATGAATATTTATAAAGATTTCCAGTCAGAAAAGGTAATTCCATACAGACCTGTGATAGGATGACTACATAAATGTCCCAAATTGTGCTTTAACTGTCTTATCTACACCCTGTTCAATGTGGCTTTGAAGTTATCTCCATTAAGTAGTGGAATTGCTGTCAACCTGTGATTGACTTTGACCACAGTATGAGAAGTAGCTCTGTATCATCTGAGTCTCGGTCTGCAAGGGCATTGTGTTCTTTTCTTCACTCTTTTGTAACTTTGCCACCCCACAGAAGGTCAATAGTGACCTGCTGTTATGTGTGGTGTCACATAAAGAACAGTTAGCCTGTTAGCAAACTGAGTCCCCAGAATTATAACAGATCAGCCAAAGATCAACAGAGTTATGACTTCATTCCAGACATACAGATACTTGAGTAGGTCTGGACGAGACCAGAAGAATCTCTAGCCAACTTCAAGATTTGTGAGCTAAGTACATACATGCTCATTCTTTTAAGTCTTCATGCGGCAATAGTTAGCTAATATAGCAGTTCTGTTTATTTAATTATGCATAAATTTCATGCATGTATGTATCTTTTCGTTAGACACAAAAACATTTAAACTTTTGATAGAAGTTGATAATCATCAAATAGAAATAGTTATGTTCTGAAGATACTTTAAGAATTCAAGTTTCTTTACAAAGAGTGGGACTGATTTTTTTTCTTTTTTTTTATTACAAAAGTTTATTTTTACATCATTTTGTACATTTTTTTTTTCCATCTCAATTGTAATCCTCGCGGGTTTCCCATCACCAAGTCACCCGTGTGCCATCACCATAATTGATTTGTTTTTTAATAAAGAACTACATGAGGTATTTCCTGTGTTGGATACACAGTGAGTTTTAGACTCTTGGGCCTATAGAAAATTACATATATTCAAGAAATAATTTAAGTTGCACCTTAACAAAAGAGTTTGTCATTTCTACAAGTTCCCAACTTTCTTTTTGGATGCTTGAAAAGAAAAATGCATACCCACTAGCGAACAATTCAAGGTATTTATGTGTTATTCAATATTATAATTGCCATTAATTATCGATATAGGACAAATTTTAATCTATGTGGGACTTTATATCACTAGACTTTTATTATTAGAAATATGCAATGGAAAGGATAATAATAACTTGCTTATGATGTGGCTTTCATTACAAAGGCCATACTGTAGTGCATTTAGGGATATGTGTGTATGTGTTGGATATATGCAGTTTCTAGAAGAGTTTACACAAAACCATTACATGGGGAAAAAACTTTAAACTGGCTATCTTTGCTAGTGGATATAGAATGAAAAAGAACATTTTATCCTTTCATGTAATTGTTACAAATATCAGTTTTTAAAAAATAAAAAATACTTTTAAAAGTCAAAAAGATTATTACCAGAGTTAAATAGCTATGTTAAAGCTATTTTTTTTTGTTCTGATTTTACCTGCAGAATTCTTCCATTGGATAGAAATTTGTGATACTCATCTTCCAGCAAGGGTTGGCCATCTTTTTGCCAGGAGTTCCTTGGTGTGGGGCTGCCACTCGACAAACACTCCATTGTCACACTCCTGCTCACCAGTGCATTCACCTCTTCTGGGAGATCACTGTTTGCTTCCTTGATAACTGGAGGCACTAATAAGTGATTGCAACAAGGAGAGAATGACAGGAAACGGAATTTTCTAAATGATTCTGGTTTTCCAACAACTTCAAGAGTTTGGAATGATAATAGAAGAGGAAAACTTGAAGGAATCATGATCTTCAAGTCACATCTCATACTAATAAAATAGGATGGCAATGAAAATTGGGTAGATTGGGTTCATTTTTTTCTTTTTCTCTCTACTTACCCCCTCCATAGTTTCATTTCTATTTAAACAGTCAGGTATAAAAATCACATATTACCCACAGAATTAAAAAAAATATAGAAATGTTAAATTAGAAAAATTTGTGTTGGTTTCTTTTGTTAATGTAGAAATTAACTTTTAAAGTGAGTAATTTTTCTCCTTAGTTTTGAGTACTTAGTTTATGTTTTACTTTCATAGAAATCTGCCATATATTTAGCAAACAGTAAAGACTATGTTTCATGTACATGCAGTCTTGTGGTATTTGGGTCTCTTGAAAACTACACTGAATATCTGTAAGAGAATAATCAAGGCTACAGGAATATCATAGAGTCTCAGTGTTATACTGAAGAGAGTTGCACAAAGTTTGGTGATTAGCACTATACTTCAGGAAAATATATAACTTGAATTACAGGTTTACAAATAATCCAATTTCAGATTAACTGAGACTGTTACTAACCCCACAACAAAAAACTAGTGAAACTTGGAATATCAAGAGTTGAGGTTATCCTGAACTTCTACTTGGATCTGACCCATAAGGAGGGGCCAGGAGGTTACTCCATGTCACCATGACAGCTCTCTGCGTACTGTGCCCCTAACTCTTCTCTGGACAGATGAACCTCAGAATTGCTCTCAGTGCCTCACAGGAGTATCAACTGTTATGTAGCTGAAGCCTTTTTTTTCCTTGTTTACCTTCCTACACTAAACTCATCTACAACACACTTTTTAACTTCCTTCTAATTTTATATAAAACACCCTCAAGGCATGAACCACTCCCCTTGACAATTTAAATCCTAATAATCCAATTCAATTTCTTTTTGGTTAAACATTATAATTTACTTGGATCAATTCATTTCAATTTATCTGAATCCCAGTTCTCCCAAAATTACATTACTGATAAGGTCTCCTTATCAGACCCTTCATTACCCTATATTCAACTTTTACCCAATTTAGGTAAAAATTAGTGCAGGCAGTCTGGGATACACCTTCACTGTTCTTGATGATATTGACACTGGTCTCAATTATTTTGTCCCTTTTCCTTATAATTATCTTGTGGACTTTAACATTTATTTCAATGACCATCCAACTCTAAGTATAGCTGATGATTAGACAACATGGGTTTGAACCGTGTGGGTCCATTTGTAGGTGTACGTTGGTTGGCCAAACCCTCAAATGGGCAGGCAGGGCAAATTATAGGGCAGATAGGGGACCTGTAAGCTGTAGATTTGGGCATGGGCGGGGGAAGGGATACAGTTGTCCGGGAATCAGTCCTTTGTGGATACCAAGGAAAGACTATAGTTTACATTTTGGGGAAGTCAAAGGTATATAAGGATTTCAACTGAATGATGAGTCAGTTTCCCTAACCCTGCACTGTTCAAGGGCCCACTGGAGTTTCACACCTACTCCAGCTATTGTCTGTCACACCGAGGAGCAAACACTGGCACCTCTTCCCCTCTGCCAGTTTGCAAACTCCCTGAGGAAAGACTGATATGTCTACTATATTCACTGCTATAGATTCTGCCCAGCAATCAACAGATAATTGTCATATAAAGAAATTCTGAGTTCTAGTGTTTTCTCTCTATCACTTTTTCTCGGCTTCATTCATAAGCTGCTCCCTTCACTGAAAACTCTAGCCTTCCACTTCTTCTGTTACATTTGGTATCAGCTTTCCTTGAAGCTCTTTTTCTTCTCACTTTGCCTAAACCTCATAGTGGGTCATTTTGGTGATTCTCTACCATGCCACCCCTCTGGTACTTTGGCTGGGTGCATCTTGATACCTGTGGTGCCAACCCTGCTCCCTGTGGTACTTTTACATGTCTTTTTTTTCTACCTTGTCCTAGGCGGCTATTGATGGCTGCAGAGAGCAGTGACTGAGCCAGATAACTCCAAATTCAATGGCAAACTCTCTCCCACCCTGAAAGTAGTGTTTAGCTTCTGTTTTGCAGGTATTTTCAAAAACTAACCCTGCCATTGTTTCTCTTGCTTACAAAAAGGACTAAATACACTTGATCTGCATTTTCCTTTCAACCATCCTAATGAGTGGTAATCCATTACCAGGAAAGGCTAAAAGAGCCCTTTTTAATCTCTTGAGTACTTTTCCTCTAGTCTGGGATCTTGTTCCATAAGCCCCTGTGCCTTTCTCCCATGCACACACACTCTTGAAACTTTAATCTCTCCCTGAATGTTGGATCATTTCCCTTGGTCCAGAATTAAGGTCAAATCTCTCTTTAATTTTTTTTTCTAAATAAGCTGTTTTTCCTAAAATTCTATTTTCTATCTTCCTTCCTGTGTAAAATGTTTTAGAAGTAGTCTATATTTGTTTCCTTTTATTTCTGATGATTTGCTCAACACTTATTCTCTTGTTCCTTAGAACCACACCCCATTATCTAAAATGATCTTTTGAGTTTCACCCATGACTGCTCAGTTTCAAAGTCAAATGGCCTCTTTTGCAGTTCTTATTTTCTTAAACTAGCTTTAGTATTCAGTACTAAACCCCAACAGGCTTTTTTTTTTTTTGTGCCTTGGAATCTGTGACATGATGGTTAGCTGCTTTTCATTAACTCCTAAATTTTTCCTCCTTTAACTCTCTTTTCCTTTCTCCTATTTGTAAATGATTCCACAATGTGCTAATCATCTCCTATTTATTTTTCTTTCTGTAAGAATCTTAGGTCTTTGAAAATTACCTGTTTGTGGGGAATTCTCAAAGTGATAGCCTGCAGTTGCCTCTCCTGTGGTTTAGGTCTGTCTTTCCAATGGCTCACTCACGTTTTATCTATCTTGGTGCCAATTCAAATTCAGTATGTCCAAAACAAAATTGACTTCCTTTTTGCCAAACTGTGTCATTTTTCTAAATCTTCTCTTTTTATTAATCAACCCATTTTTTTACTCATGTAAGATAAACATCTCAGTGCCATCTTATACTCTAGAGATGAGTGCCGAGTACTTTGTATTAATTAATCACATACTCGATTATATATGTCATATCACCTACTTACTGCTCTATAGTCTCACTAGCTTAGTCTCTTCGAACAGAAGCATCTATTTATCCTTGCTTCTAGTAACATTTCATCTCATTTTCCTTAAAGGTAACATATTTTTCCATTCTTAGTCCATGCAGTTAGATGGAGGTTACTGTGACCTAAGGGTAGTCATATGAACTATTGTCTAGTCTTAAGAGCTACCTTTTAGTCTGTATAACTGATTCAGGGATGAATGTATAACTTGTTCTTGGCTAATTAGAACCACAGAATTCTAATGTTAAGGCTTACATTGTAAACAGTAGGGGAAAAAAGCTTTCATTCAGTTGAGAACCTCAAATATTTTATAGGGACTAAAGGGCCTAATGGCTAATTTGGCAGCCAAGGGGAGCTCCTGAGACTGACAGTGATGCTAATGGAGAAAAATAAAGCCAAAAGAAAGGTAAAGCCCAGTTGACCTCTGTTTTAGCCATACGTCAGCTGTGGCTGCAATGGGCACTACTCTGGCACTCTCCCAGTTTGAAAGTCAATGACTTCTTCTCTTTTTTTGTTTTTTTGTTTTATTTAGCCCAGTTTATTTTTTGATACTTCAGCAGTCCTAGCTAATATACTCTCAATTTATATAACTAACTCCTGGGGAGAACTATTGGTTTCTGATTATCTTTATTGTCTCAAAAGTGTAAAGTGTGACATTTTGCAAGCATTCATTCCTCAAAAAATTGTTCTGAGTCAAAGAATGCATAACCAACAAATGAAAACCAACTTACAGAGCACCCGGACATCATACTGAAGTGAATCTTCTCCAGCCTCATTCACAGCCACACAGGTGTATCGCCCTGCATCTTCGACTTTGGCCCGAGGAATCTGCAGCACTCGCCCTCCTAAAAATACACCAATATGTTTACCTCTGAAAATCTTAGCCTGAATACTGGTTATAAATAGAGGCAGCATTTATGGGAGGGCTATTCCTTCCTTACATTTAATTTCAAGTTTCTTAGCTCATCTAGTGATTTAGTGTTTTAATCCCAGATACCATTTTTATAATAAATGCTGCATTATTAAAAAGGCAACCACATTTAGGACCTCATATTACATTTAATTATCATTTCTATGCAGTGCCTTTTTTTTTAAAGATTTATTTATTTATTCATATAGAACTGGGGTACAGGCTAGAGATGCGGAGGGTGAGAGGATTCACCAGAGACAAAGAGGGGAGCAGAACAGGCAGATCTATGAAGTACACCACTGAGGGGAGTGGTGGGCGGGTCAGGAGAGGTCTGCCTCGCCATGTGGATCTCCTCCGGGGCAGGCGGGGATCAAACTCATGAGAAAGTAGCTTAAACTTCTTAGTGCTGTGCTTTAACCCGCTGCGCCACCAGGGAGGGCCGCAGTGCCTTTTTTTAAAGTTAATTAAGATTAGTGTTAACGTATAGTAGAATGCGTTGACTTTAAGTGTACAATTTGATAATTTTTGACACACCTATTTGAATGTTTGCTAAAAGTACAATTCCACAACAATTCGAATAGTTCCTGTAATATAATGACAATATTTCAAGCTAATAATCTGTATGATTTATGATAGCTTCATTAATAAATGGGGTAACTTTTTCTAATTATATTTTAGATCATCACTAACTATGTACAGCTATAAGCTGATGATTTCTTATACTGTTACAGAAATGTTTGCACAAGGAAGCCAAAGGACTTTCTTGAGTGAATATATGATCTTGTGGTAGATCAGAAAACTAAAGTGTTCTATCCAATGTCAAATTCTTGACCTGTTCTTTCCTAGCTTGAAGCTACATGCACATGAATGACATTCAATAGGCCTGTGTCAGTTCAACGCGATGGCCAGAATGTCCGTAAATTCCACTGATTTAACACATGTGGCAGAAATTCAACTTTCACCTGTTCACACTAGTCTTTACCTGGTAAAATTAGCACTCTATCACTTGAGGTGAGCGGATGGCCATCTTTGTACCATGTCAGGGTAGGTGGGGGAGCAGCATTTGTCTCACAGTAAAGAGAAATGGGGTTGTTGATGATCACATCCTTGGCTTCACCATTCCTGCCAGTATCCAGCATGTTTCCCATTTCCCAGAGTTTCTGAAAACTCGGAGGAACTATGAATGGAAGAAGACAAGAAATTTTGAACACATGTGAATACTAGTATCAAGTTATTAAACAAAGATTTTGACCACTTTTTCACAAGAATGATTTGTAAAGGTCAGATATTAAACAATGGGAAAATATTTTCAAGTACTTGTACACATGCCCACGAGGCCCTGAGCTAAAAATGGTAATAACAGACCAAAGTCGGTGGAATAACAAGAACAAGAACAAGCACAGATGCTGTGCTCCTTTCAGTATGGCTTCCCCTAAAAAAAGGGTGATAGTACTTAGGGGTGTCAGCAATCAGGGAGGCTATGCAATGTGATTATAGCAGGAAAAGCTAATTTTAAGGAACCATTAAGAAACTCTGACTCAGCTGAGAACATTTTCCAAAGATTTATTTTACTATGAAGGTTAATGATCTACTAACAAAAATCACAACATTCTCAAATTTTAGGAAGGGAGAAATATGAACGTTTTAGAAGGTAATGTTAACTGTACATCAAAAGCATTAAAAAAAAAAAAAGTGTTACACTTACGCTACAATTTCCACCATGAGCAACTTACGAAAAATCAATGTGCTAAATTTTTTCTTAAAAGGTATTCATTGACACACATGTAAATAATCAAAACTTGGAAATATGTCAGACATTCAACACAGGAGTTTGGTTAAGTAATAGACAGTCAACTGATAAAACTGGTATAATTATTAAATACCATGTTCACAGTAACAATAGCAAAAATAACAAGATCATTTCTTAAGTATTTTCTAAGAGTTTATCTTATTTGCATTCAACACAATTTTCTCAGGCTTTCATTTTATAAATGAGCAAATTGAACTTAACATATTTAGGCAACCTGTCCAAATCACAAAGTTTGTAGGAGACTAAATCATCATTCAATTTCTGGTCTGGCCACTATAAATTGTATACCACTTTCCTGCCTTTTATGTAAATGCTATTTAAAAATCATGATATAATATTAGTGAAAGCTAATGCCATAGAAATGAGTATTGTGTGATACACTTGTAAATAAGGTATACAAAAAATATCAAAAGGAAGCAAATGAAAAATCATGGTTAAGTAAACTTAAACAATGGGATATTTTCTTTGTTAATTTCTCAAGTTTTCTACAATGAATTTATATTATTGTCAACAGAAAAAAATAAACCAAGCCAAATCTCTTTTCATTGTTTTGACATCACACAATTTAAATTACCAATAAAGGTGTATTAGTATTACCTTGTATATTTACATCAAAGTCCAGCTCATCTTCACCTGCAATATTAGATGCTACACAAGTATATCGCCCAGTGTCTGATATTTGAGCCTCCTTTATTTGAAGGATGTGTCCATTTGCAGCAATATTAACATGATCATCTGATTTAAGAGGCTGTGATTCAATTATAATAAAATTAGCATCATATATTTAAGTAAATGCTCCAAAAGACCATGTAGTTAATACATTCTATTATTCATTAATAAATATAAATAAAATTTTATGTGAAATATTCAGAACAATATAATTAATTTACTTTGATGTAATTATTCATTAAAAATTATAAATCAGAGCTGAGCTCTGTGTTAAGGATTTCTGAGTGGTACACATCTATACATTTTTATGATAAAAATGTTCTTAGGTACTATACCCATGTCAGAGAAAAATTTTAGCTGATCTCACAATACATTAAGAAAGCATATCTTTTATTATGATATACTAATAAGTGGAGAATGCTAACATTTTAAAAATATGAGACTGAGAGTATTGCCACAATATAATTTGATCTAAAATTCCAAATTATTAATTTTATCTATTGTTTGTTCAGAAACATCATTACTTAATAAATAAAAAGTTTGAGCCTAGACATATTCATATTAAGGTCTTATTGGTAAAATTAATAAAATTAATAGGAATCTATCATATTGTAAACCTTTCCATCTATACTCTCCTTGCAGGTTTTAGTACTAGTTTACAGGCATTCCTTTTAATGATTCTCTTTAATGCCATTTCCTCCCATCTTTTCTTGAATTTGCTCCAGTCAGAGTTTCAGCATCACTATAAGACCAAAACAACATAGTTCAGGTCACCAGTGACAATATTGTGAAATTCACCAGCCAATTCTCAACCTTTATTTTACCAGCTGAATGACATGTAACATATTTAGTTTGCTTTTACTTTGGAATACTTGTATATCCCTTAGCTTTTGTGACACTTGACTCTATGCTCTAAAACCGCTAATGTAGAGTTTACCCTAGGGCTTAATTCTTGAACCTGTTCTATCTGAACTCACTCTCCTTATCTCATCCAAAAGTGTGATTCAATCTCTTCCGCTTGCATCCTGCTACCACCTTTCGCCACACAAGTATCATATCTCTTTTGGATCACTGAAATAAATTCCTATCTGGATGCTCTTTATATTTTTTTCCAAATACAGAAACCAATGTAATCCTTTCAAAATCTTAGTCAGATCATATCACTCTCTTTGAGATGACACTGGTTTGCCATGCCATATATAATTTAGAGGCCTGGGATAACACCATTCAGGTGTGTGTTAATGCACATACTCCTAAGGCACCCCCAGTCCGACACCAGAGTCCATTGTGCCCTTTCCCATCTTGTTCACCCCTTTCCTGCTCCTCTGGTAGCCTCAAATCTATAGTCCTATTTCTAGCATTTGTTATTTGCTTTTATCTGGTCCTTTGCTTTGGCTCTCTGTATTCTACATGTAAGTGAAACCATCCAGTACTTGTCTTTCTCCTAACTTATTTATCCTTTTTTATTTGCAGCTGAGCAATATTCCATTGTGTATATACACCACATTTTCCTTATTTGCTCATCTGGTTTTGGGCACCTAGGTTGCTTCCATGACTTGGCTATTATGCTTACATTTTCCCAGTGGCTTCCCATGAGAACAGAAGACAATTGATCTACAAGGCAGTATGATGTGGTCCTTCCTTAATCTTTTGCTCACTTCTGTGTTTTCCAAAGTCACTGTGCTTCAGGCCAAAGTGGCTAGGGCCTTCGCACCTGCTATTCTCTTTATTTTAGAATGTCCCCTTTTACCCCCAGTTATCTTGTGTCTATTTTCTTCACTTTCTTTGGAATTCTGCTTGAATATCACCTATTTGGAATGCTCTTCCCTACATAAAAAGGAAAACACACTCCCCACATTCACAGTTCTTCATCCTGACCAAGTTATTTCCATAACATCTATCCCATCTGGCACATCAGATGTTTTATGGTTTGTTCAGTTTTGTCTCTTCAAATTTCATACAAGTAGAGATTCTTGTCTTATTACTTCAAAGCTGCAGGGAGGATCTCACCTAGATGTCTGGCAAATAGGATGTGCTTAATAAATGGTTGTATGCTGTAAGTCATTGTTAAAATATCACTTATCTAAGGTAGCATAAATTAAACTTTCTGTGCCAAAAATACTTCAGATCATGGTCAATAAAACTCAAAAGGTTGATCAAAACTTATTGTAGTTAAAACTGACACTATTTTTAGTGTTTTTCCCCCCAAACACCACTTTTTTCAAGCACTGTTGCTTATCTTAGATTACTTTTAATAGAAAGGATATGGAAAAAGCCAGTATTTTTTAGTGTACATTCTAGTGACCACTCCCAAGACTGAAACATTTAGCAGCTTAACTAGAGGATCATAATTAAATCATTCCGGGGTCTGGATCTGAAATTGTACTTTAACTCTTCATGGTGAAGTTAAAACAAAACAAACTGCTTCATTCCTAGTGCACTTTAGTCAATTCAGCTTTTAAACATGTATGGGCTGTGTGTGCACATGAGTAGTAACAGCAAAGAATGAATAGCTTCTAGGTAAAATTTAAAATAAAATAAAAAGATTTCAATGGAGAAAGAAATTATTTGTTTCTGAGCAAACTCACACAGAATTGATGTTGTACCATGAAGTATGCTGGTAATCAGAAAGGAAACGGTAAACAGAGCATGGTGAGTGTTCCATATTTTCCCCTTTCCAATGGTTTCCAGATGAAACTTGCTTATTTTATAAGAGGTGATTTTTTTCCCTAGCTGCCAGTATTGTGAAATCCATCTGTGACTTGAAAAAATAAAGCTCTATCTTTCTGTACCTTAAATTATGGTGCTGACCTGAACTTCCATAACTGGAATTTAACTGACCATTTGGTTGATGATGTGTAAAATAGGGCAAATGGCAGCTGAGCTATGTCACATCTGTATTAAGGCTTAGCACACAGGCTTAGCAGCTAAAAAAAAAAAAAACTAAAAAAGCTTAGCAGCTAAAAAAAAAACTATTTTGGTCTAGAAACACCAGAACATATGTCTTTAAAACAAGCATAGAAGGGAATAAGTTGAATGAGAAATAAGGGTGTGTGGTCTGAGAGTCAGGCCACATTAATTGTAGGATCTGCCTGTTATTTAAAGCTTCTCATTGCCACTAGCTCATTGATTTGTGCACCTAATCATATTTAGCTTTTTTCTTCATCCTGGAATATGAAAACATGTTACCTTTTATAAATGAGTTTAAGATGTTCAGAGAAAACTTCAAACTCAATACCAATGTTATACCTATCATTCCTAGGTGATTTAGCTTTGTTTTTGTTTCTTCACAAACTTTACACACTCTGCACAGTCCAGAAAACAAAAACCATTCCTCAGTGAGAAGGTGGCTGGATGTTCATACACCACTGCTAATGTATACAAAAACAGAGTGTAGAGTAAAGGAATTTTTACAATTGTATGTAGGTTGAGGAGACTTTTTCCTTTTAATTTCTAGGTTCATGAACTTAAACTGGTTTTAAGATGACATTGATTCCATGAGTCATTTGCACCTAATTTTTTTAATTGATCATTTTAGTCTTTAAGAAACTATAATGAATGAAAAAAACTTGTGACTGGCCTGTCCATCCTTGTACCAGCTGAGGGAGGCAGAAGGAATCGCATAAGCTTCACATTCCAAGGTCAGCGTGTTGTTTACTTTGATCTTGACTTCTTTAGGGGAAAGACCTGACCCAAATAGGTCCCCTTTATTGATTATGGGTGGAACTGCATTTAAAAAATTAAGATTAAAGAGTTAAACATCAGTTCATTTAAACATATGGAAACACAGCAGAAATCAGCCTGAAGATTATTTCACATGAAAATAAGAAAGTAACTGAGACACTTTCTATGCTCTCTTTTCATCAAGGACCCAAGTTAAAATTTTTAGAACTAGTAGTGTTCAGATATAGAGTGTAAAGAGAACAACTTTATTCATCATTACAATCTTCTCAGAGAGGCTCAGGATCTTTATAGACAGTAGGTTTCATTTGGTCCAGGTCCCCAGTCTGAGCGTAACATATAAAATGCATTTTATTGGTCATTAAAGGAACTGAGTCAAAGAACAAAAGACAACAAAGATACTCTTCATTTTTAAACACAAAAAGGAAATTCTGAGATGCAGGCATTATTAACTGTAGTTTTAGCTTAGCTTTTATTTATTTATATTTTTGCACAAGCTAATGTAGAGTGGATCAGCTTCTGTCTCAAGTCACTATAGGATGCTGACTAGAGATTGTTCATTTAAACAGCTTGTGTCTGCAAATATTGTAACCCAGCCCTGAGAGGAATTCAGAAGGAAACAATAGAGAAACCTAAGGCAGAGCCACTGACAAGTTCTCCAACAAGAGAAGAGGTTAGTGAGCAGAACTGAGTGGGTGCTTCACATCTTTAAGCAATTGAGGTCATGGGCACAATGCTTAATTCAACTTTCATCTTAATGAAGCAAGATGCACAGAAAATAATCTTCAATGATGAGTAGAAATAAATATGAACCCACAATGAAAAACAGGTTTGAAACAGAAAACGTGGCAAGATATGAACATACTGTTCTTTCAGAACTTACTGTAGACCTTGACTTCATAGTGCTTTATCATCTCCCCAGCCTCATTAGTGGCTACACAAGAGTATCTTCCAGCATTGTCCTCCTGTGCATTTAGGATCTGCAGGGTCCTACCACCTAAAAAAATGGAACATCAAAGGGTCATTGATGTGACAGTGACAGCAGAATATGCACAAAATAGCAGATTTTAACACTTACTACTAACACATTTCTTCTATACGCCAATTCTGTGGCAGGTATTTGGCACAAAGCAAACTGTACTATAGACAGAGGGCAAATGGGTACTGCTTGGTTATGTACATACTCAAGCTAAGGTCATTATTTTATTCTCTTTATACACAGGTCTTCTGCCTTTGTCTCTTCTTTCGCTCATCTGTTGCTTTATCAGTAGAGCTTGAGCTTGCTAAGATAGTTTTTATTATGGAAACTTCCTCATTAAAAATCTTTAATGACTTTAGTTGGCTGCAAGTGTAAAGTCAAAAGTTTTAAACCATGCATTGCAAACATGACTCCACCCTCCTACCTTTTACAGTCTCACATACACACACACACACACACACACACAGTATCGCCACTCAAGAGGGAGATAAGTACTTTGTTACTTGCATACAAGTGCACCAGTCTCATTTTGTACCTTTCCAGTACTATTCATTTTGCTGGATCTAAGATCTCTCCCAACTCGATCCCAACCAATGAAATTCTATAACATTTTTTAAGACTGGCTTAAGTTCTGACTGCAATAAAGCCCTTCCAAACCATTTCAACCCATCATGTCATTTACTCTTAAGAATTTTCATAACACTTAAGACTACCCTATTTGTTACATTCCTTAATGGCTCAGAACCCATCACTATTCAGATTCATGGTATAAGCTTTCCACATGTACTAGCTTCTGTGTGTAAAAGTATACATTTCTTAAGATGTATATTCAGACATATTACCAGATATTAGAGAGGGATAACTAAAATCAATCTAAAGACTAACATCCCTTCAAGATTCATTTCAACAAGAAATAAGAGCCCTACCCTTTTTGGCATCCCACATTAAAAAACATTTCAGCAATCAGCAATTATCAATGTATTTATCTTTTTTATTTAGATTTTTTTTTGAGAAAATAATTTCTGGTTTCTAGGATTATAAAATGTGTACAGATAATTTTCAACACTAAAATACCAATACAACACTACCAACAACATAAATATTTTTGTAGAAAATAACTAATGATTCTGCTTTTCAATACTCATCGATGGTAGAGATTCATCCTGAAAATATGAAGTAAACTAATTACCTGGAAGAATACGAATATTTCGGTTGGATTCTAAAGGAGCTCCATCCTTAAACCAGGTGATGGTAGCTGGAGGGTAAGAATAAGCTTCACATACCAAAGATGTGGGATTGTTAAGGATAACTGTGACATCCTCTGGGCTGCCATCACTATCGACACCAGCAATTGTAGGAGATACTGAAAAACAATTTAAATTTTAATCAAAGAAAAATATTTAGATATTTCTAAGTGCATTCCTAAATTTCGAATGTACTGACTTGAGCAATTCCATTCCCGTGACAACTGCAAAAAAAGTAGAAAATTGGAATGCGTTGGATATTTAGGAGGGGAAGATGTTATTTTTGTCTTGAATTTCTTAATCTTTAAGTGCCCAGGAGAGTTCTAGGTAGAAATGTTCAACTGGAAGCTATATAGAAATTGGACTCTTGAGAGAAAAATCTGGGTCACAAGGAATTATATGTGCTTTGGTGGTGGATATGGCATGGTAACATGTATCTGAAGAACTGTGACCTTATTCTTCCAAATCATATACAGTGTTATAAACTAATGTTACTTCATTAAAAAAAGGAGCTAAAAGTCTATTTAAGGTGATAATTAAATTGCTGGGAATTAAGTTTATTACTTGGAGAGACTATCCATACTAAAATGAATACTATCCTATGGACAAAATGTTAGGTGTCCTAAATTTTGAGAGATGAGTCAAATAAGAGTCTCCACAGGGAGAGAAAGGGATCAACCAAGTGTATGAAAGGTTAACTAGAGAAGAAAACAAGATTCATAATAGCTAAAACATTAAAATAAAGGGCAAAAATGTTATTAGAGCTAACAAAGGGTAGTAGTCTTTGCTATAGCATTATAGCTATAATGGTGGTTGAAATATGAAGTAACAGAGATGGTAACAGGTGATGCTTCAGGAAGGCGGATGGTAGGAATTACTTGACATACCAAAGATAGGAAGATACAGGTTCAAGGGCATAAGTGCAACCAGTAATTGAGTGAGCATAACTCACTCCTGAGAAAAGAAAAGGGAAAGACACTGAATTATGACTGAGTATGCTGCAAGTTGCAAACACACACAAATAGTCCCAGCTTTATGAAACTGATGAAAAAGAATCATCAGTTTTTTAAATTCAGATCATTCAGTGAATGAGGGAGAATGACAAGAAATAGATAAGCAGCCAGGAAGTGGTGGTGCTGGTGCTGGTGGTGGAGTGGGGGGTGGAGGCAGGAGGAAATAGTCAAATGGAGTGGTTGGGTACCTAGGATAAAGAATTAAGAGATTTCTACTGGAGGGTTTTCCCTGGTAGTACAATGAGTTAAAGCATAGCTCTATGAAGCTATCCATAGCCACTGCAGCACGAGTTTGATCCCTGGCCAGGGAGGTGACCCACAAGGTGTGGCAGACCTCTCCTGATCCAACTGCTGCTCCTCTCAGCAGTGTATTTCAGTCAATCTGCCTGTTCTGCTCCTGCTCTCTCTCTGGTGAATCCTCTCATGCCCCACACCTTTGGCTTGTACCCTGGTTCTGTATGCATAAATAAATAAATTTTTAAAAGAGAGAGAGAGAGATTTCTACTGGACAGATTTCCAAGGAATAAGGATCTCTTGGGAAGAGTCGGATTACAATTATAGCAGAAACAGTTTATTGATTGATTAAAGTAACATTCATTTATAACTGCATTGGATTCAAGGACATAACATGATACATCAACATCTAGTCAATTTATCATAGTAGGGTTACTATGACAGTTTAGTTTCCACCCATTCAATTGCTTGTCTTGATCTGATCTATCTACCCCTCATCCCTTCTAGTAGTCATTATTTTGTTCTTATAGTATAATAGTTTTGTTTTACTTTGTTCTTTCATTGGTTTTGTTTCTTTATTATCATATATGAGTGAAATCAGTCTTATCAATCTTGTCTTTCTCTTTCTGACTTGTTATTCAATGCTATGTTACATGATGGGGCCAAATATTATACAACGTAAAGAGTTCTGCCTTTGGATGATTATAGGTATATATGATTATTATTTATATATCATTCATTTAACACTTTATAAATTACCCAGAATTTTGAACAAGCTTTTCTTGTATACCTATGTCTTCTATTTAGATTGTGAGCTTCCAGATAAGTGTAGCATGTGTGAGAGGCTCCTATATGTGGAACTTTATATTAGTAAAATAGGCGAGCCAACAAGTACAAAAGAAAAAGCTGCAGGAATGTGTATGCTTAAATACACAGCAATTGATTTTAGGATAATGCAAGCATTTTAATAATATTAATCAAGTATAATACAGTTGGGTGCTATATTTTAAATTAAAAAAATTGAATAAAAATTAAGAATCTATTTTAATTTCTTTCCCAAGATACATGTATAATTTGGACACTGTAGGAAATTAATGTAAAGTTATTTTATCATCCATAGTCCTCCAAGACCATAATATGGACAATGATCAATAATGGCAGGATCTCACAAAGCAAGGTAACATATCTTAAGTCATGCTCATTTCACTATTGACCTGCTTTTCTTTCACTAGCATGTATTTACTCTTTACCATTGCTAATTTAACATCTCTTTGTTCATAGCCATGTTCCTACCACAAGCCACAGTGGCTGTATGATAGTAGCTATTCTAAGCAGAAAGAATGAATGAAAGAAAACACCAAATCTACACAAACATTTGCCCCCAAATAACTATTCTTAGTAGGTACGTTAACTGAGAATAAAAAGAACTTAGTCAAGTGTGCTATTTCAAGATTCATAATAATATTACACCTACCTAACACATTAAGACTGAAGCTTTTGCTCTTGTCACCAGCTGTATTAGAAGCCAAACATGAATACCTCCCAGTGTGTGACACTTGGGCATTGGTAATTTGAAGAAAACGACCACCAGACATAACGTGATGGGCACCATCTTCTTGGAGGAGCTGCCCATCTTTGTGCCATGTTATTTTTGGAATTGGGTCACCTGTAACAAAAAGTTGTTTCTGAGAACTGGCTCATAATTGCATGTCTACAACTGATAACTAAAGAAAGTATTTTTCTCTAGAAGAAAGCATTTTTCACTCATTTGTTTTTTGAAATATCCAACTTCTAACACAATGTGATTACTGTTAGTTTTAAAATAAAATCCCAAACATTATGTAATTGACAATAATGATGACACTAATATGCTAAAACATGATCTAACGTAGTCATTTCTAATGTACATAAGTTTTTACCCCAAGTGAAGTAATTTTACATTAATCTCAGCATTTAACTAAATTTTACTGCACCTGAGATGATTATAATTAAATATAGTAAAATACACTTATGAACGGTACATGTATTTTTATTAAGATTATTATATACTTTTATACTCATATTAAATTTTCTAAATTTTATATATTTTGAAAGAACAAAAAGAAAAAAAAGTTAAACAGTTCAGTATACAGCTATCTCAAGTCACAACAGGATTCTAGCAGAGATACATAATTAGGAGAGATAAATGGTCATTAACCTGCTAATATCTACAACCTATAGTGAAATGATCTTCCATATTTATAATTGCATAAGCTATGTTAAATATTAAATTTTAAATTGCTCAAGTAAGTTTTGTAAGTTTAAAGCCATTACAACAACTTTAATTAGAAAAGAGGGCTAGTATGATACTTTATTAAAACTGTCAGGCTTGATTACACTGTTGTGGACACTGTCCTATGGTCCTGTCTATTAGGGAACAGAATTTTCAAATTTGCCCTACTATAGAGCCCCCAGACTGGGAAGCCCAGCCCTAGAATCTGGACAACTATTGAGTCTATTCTACAGCTACCCTTCTTGGTAGGAAACTACATCAGCAGTCCTATCTGATTATTCCCAAACAATAGCATCCCATCCCCACACTGAAATAATAGTCAGGCAGTAACCTCAAACAAACAGAGGCACTAATAGCAAGCCCTATTTCCCAAGGATGCTATGGGTTGACCTATCCACAAAGCCAAGCTGAGCTGACTAATGAAGTGACGCTTTTAAGTCTGAAAAACAGGATCACTTACTCAAGTGGGTAGATGTGGGTCTGCTAGACTTATTGGCCTGCTCAGCCACCATTTTGGTTAAGTGCAGTCTGCCCTCTAATACAAGGGCAAAGCAAATGAGTCAGAGTTAAATGACCTAAAAGAATGTAATATACAGACCCTACATGGCTGCTTTAAAATTAAGCAAGAGCAGGACACTCGGTCACTTTGGGATAATGGATATACAACAAAAGGTATGACCAGTAATACTCAAGGGGCCATTGACTGCTGTGTAACTGTGTACTCCACAGAATGATCAGCGAAACACCTTTTTGATAAGAGTGGAACCATGGCCAATGGTCTGGAGTGTGGTTCAGTTATAATACTTGGTCATCAAGCAGATAAAAAAATATCTGATCAACAGACTTCTGCCCTCTGAAGTCCTAAATGACAGCAAGTCTCTTTTCAGTATCACCCATCTTGTTCTCTTTGTCCTCTCTATGGTTACTCTATCAATAAAAAGGCCAGGATCTTGCTCATTAAGCAGCATCCTACAATGTATAGCCTGCTCCATGACTCCCATTTCTTTATATGTGTGGTGTTGCTGATGCAATAGGAGAAAGCAGCAAAAGGAGTCAGGTAAATATGACACCATCAAAGGAAAAATAAAGGTCCACTAATTCAATAACTGATCCAAAAGAAATGGAAGTCTAGGAACTTTATGACAAAGAATTTAGATAAGCTCTTCAGGAGGTTTGAAACTTCAAACACACAAAAAGCTAAATAAAATTAGGAAAAACAATGTGTGAACAAAATGAAAAATTGGACAAAGAAATATTAACCATCAAAAAAAGAAACCAAATTCCAGAGCTGAAGAGCATAATGACAAAACTGAACAATACAACAGCTTTAATAATGGACTTAATAAAGCAGAAGAAAGAATCAATAAATTAGACTATTAAGCTATTTGAAATTATCGAGACCAAAAAGAGAAAGAGGTTGAAAGAAAGTAAAGAAAACTTATGGAAGGTAGAAGGTACATTATGGAAATTCCAGAAGATAAAGAGAATGGGAGAGACAACATGTCTAAAACAATATAATACAAATTCTAAACATAGGAAGAGAAATGTACATTCAGATTCATGAAACCCAAATAGTTTGAAATGAAAGAGCTATGCTGAGACACAGTATAATTGTCAAAAGTTAAAGACAAAGAGGCCATTCTCATGCAGAAACAAGAGGAAGCTACTTAACATTGTTAAATCATTTAAATATGAATGTAGGTGAAAAACTCAGTTGTAATGACAAGCACACATCAAACTCACAGTCTCTAATGTGGATCTATTGGTACATAACTCACACATGCTTAGTTTAAAAGTAAAAAACATTAAAATAATTTGCTATTAGATATATGACATAAATGTAATTTATATATGTGACATAATTAATCATTAATCTAAAATATGGACTGAGAAGTAAAGGTAGACATTATATAAGCTTTAGTCCAACTTCCTATTGTTTTTAAATTCTCCACTGACATCTAATGCTTTATTACTTGCATCCAGACTGAACTGCTCACACTTGCCAGACCTGAGAATACTCCTGCTCCTGTCTTTGGTTTTATCCTGGTTATAACAGGTAATCATCAACACTTTTTGAAAGGAAACAGTATGGAAGAAGGACCTCCAAAATTTAAAAATAGACCTATTGTCTGATCTAGCAATTCTATTTCTGGGCATATATCCAAAGGAAACAAAATCACTACCTCAAAGAAAGATCTACATGTACATTCACAAATTCATTCAACATTTTCACACGAGTAAAGACATGGAAGCAATTTAACTGCTCATCAATAGATGGACTGATTAAAGAAAATGTGATAAATGTTTACATCTATATGTATGTACGCATAGAATATAATATTATTTCGCTACATAAAAGGAAATTCTGTCATTTGTAACAATTATCAGTGAACCTTGAGGATGTTATATTTGATGAAATAAGTCAATTCAGAGAAAGATAAATCCATTATCATTTCACTTATATGTGGAGTCTAATAAAACTAAATTCACAGATGCATGGTTGCCAGAGGCAGGAGCTAGAATGTGAGGGAATGTTTAATATGATCAAAGGGAACAACTCAGTGATAAGAGAAATAAGTCCTGGGATGTCACGTAGAGAATGCTGACTATACTTAACAATACTGTATTGTATATTTGAGAGTTGTTAGGGAGAAGATCTTGAAATTTCTCATTACAAGAATAAACATTTGTAACTATGTGAAGTGATGGGTGACAATCTCATTAATTCTGTGTATGTGTAGGAAATCATGATATATATGCCTCCAGCTTGTACAATGGCATATGTAGATTATAGCTGCATAAAACAAGGAAAAAAATTTTTTAAAAACTCAAAACCAAATGTCAGTGTAAAAATAAAATAAAATGGAAGCCCCAAGGGCAGAAGCTGTTGGTTTAGGAAACTGATCTCTATGCTACAGTTGTTACTATATCATTTTATTTTTTTAATTTGGGTAGTGGGTTAAGCTGTATTACATGTCATACTGTAACAGGTACAGATTTTATGGACTCCGCCCCCACTCCAGATGCTGGAACTCCAAATCCCATCAGTACCAAGGAGCAGCACCCCGGGACGTGAGGGCGGAGCTGAGCAGCCAGGTGGGGGGAGACCTGGTGGTTCACAGCTGATCATTTTGGCTCTCAATCGGTTTTCAGCGTGACTTAGAGTCCAAGTCAGCAGAACTGGTAGGACATCCTAGTTAACCTGTGTTTCTCT